AATTTCTCCTAACGTTGGTCCTCTATGATGTTCATAGCTCGAGAGTTCATTATTACTTCTACTTGCTAAATGCAGATAATACTTGAAAAAGCTTAAGAAACCCGCTTTTATCTAGAACGAAAACAACAACTTAAACTAGACAATTTGTATTACAGTATCATGCACGAATTTCGTGCGCGCTACGTGAATGTTTCGCGTTTAGTTTCCTCGAAGGAAAGAGGTGAAAGAGAAAGTAACATATTGAAGTGGGTTTCGAAATGGGATATGCTCTGTATGAAGCCTGGGCGCTAATTTCAAAATTTCCTTTTCTGTTAAGCACTCTACTAAAAGGAATTATGAAATTTTATCGTATGTGCATAAGTTCAATTTGATGCTTGTAAGCAGTTGGATAGTGATCACAAGAATCACAAATTGTAGGCTGACCACGATGTGTGTGTGCAAGCCATACGAATAAGCAAGCTCAACATATGGCGTTGTTCTGAACTTTCTTCATAATGCAAGAAGACAAAAAAAGAGGAAAGTGATACGGCTAACCGATCAAACTGCTTATCTAGCAAAGACTCCCGAGTCAATCGAGTACGAGCACTTAATTCAAGAGTACTTACACTTCAGTGACAATTTCGAATTGCTCTGGATAAATGGTAACGTTCACTTTTATCACTAAATCCATATTTTGCAGCAGTTTTCGAACTGCATACATTTGACACTAGTTACCTTTATCTCACTTTCTATAGAATTGCAAAAAAAAAGGAACACTACATCCTTAAAGCGTGACTACTTATGACCTTCCCCAAGGAATTCCACAAGATTAACCTGAGAGTTGTACTAAAAAAGTGCGTGGCAATACACAAAGTGGTAAAAGTATTCCCCAATATATTACTTGACAATCACAGATATATCACGTACACAACAATTATGCAGGAAGTGACGTTTCAGAAACGCAACCAATAATAAATCAAATAAATAAATAGATGCGACAAACAGCCACATCGCAAAACAGTTCCAAAATCATAACAGAACATGCCATAAATCATGTGAAGACAAACTTATACCTGCGTCTACTCGTTCCTTTACTGCACAAACAGGATATGTTACACCATTGAGGAATGATTCTACCGCTCATCTATGAGCTTCATCTTTCGTCGTCCTCAAGAATGGCAACTCGATCGTCACCTTTAAATAGTTAGGGGGTCGTTAGAAGGATGGCTATGCGTAAAGCTCGGAACTCACTGCGCCCCCTCCTTATGCGATGCCCAATCTGCGAAGGAAGAAGTGATAGCAAAATAATAAGAGCAAGCAGGAGACATCCACCTGGGACGTAGACCATAATGATCCGGTAAAACAAGGTGCATGCAGTATGTGGTTGTGTAGGGCTGCAAAATGGTTGTAGTTCCAAGAATTAGGAACAAAATATGTTCTACTCTTGAAAACCTACTCGCATGACGGATTCCATAATTCGATGATCTGATAACTTAAACCGTTGGCAAGTTTATCCACAAAACTCATTGCACCGTATACAAAAGCTCCACTTTCCTGCATATACTTGAAATGATAAATGAGCAGCCTTCTAAGAAAAAAAAAACTGTTTACCGTGTTCTTATTAATGAGATCAGCAGTAATCGACAATGAAGTGATCAAGAGTATGGCTTGTGCAACGCCTGATCATAGTACTGATAAACTCCAAAAAAGGTTTTCAGTTTCCATAAAAAAGAAAAAAGAACGATAACGAACCTATGAAAGCAGCAACTGCATACATTTGATATAAAGGAAGATCATGTAACATCCAGACACAAGTTCCAACACCACAGACCAATCCAATTAGGAAAAGCAACTGAAGCACTTTGTCATAAATACATTTAAATTTTCACAAAAAATTATTTTTTTAGAGATTTCAGATTAACTTACCTTTCTGTTAACAACACGATTAAACCAAGGGATTCCAGTGAAACCTGATACAAGAAAGGACGAAAGGTAGGAAACCATGGGGAAAATAGCAACATATTTCTGAAAAAGAACAAAAATGATTAATTAACATTTTCAAAAATGGCCTATTTGCAGAAAAATTGATTGTTTAAAAGTACACCAACCTTAGCGTAATTCTGAGTCAAAGTTATGTAAAAGGGGAAATAAACCTGCGATATGTTTACGTACAGACGTGATAGCATGTATAGCAGCGCAATCTAAAGCAGAAGAATTAACTTACAAACTTCTAATAATCAAGAAAGAAGAACATACCTGGTAAAATTGTATATGCCCAAACCAGCTGGTCCAGTGCATTCTCATTAGTTCACTAGCTTCTGAAG